TATTAGTTTGGATAAAAAAAAAAATCTTTTCAAACCTTGTTGAAAATTTACAAAGAATAATTTTCCTATTTATTTAGAAAAAATTTTGAAATAATAGTGCTTTAATTAAGATTAAAAACTGAAACCTTATTTTTCCTTATTCTAATTTTAATTCTTTTGTATTCATAAAATCTGGTTTTTAATAAATGTATGAAAATTGATTGTTAGCAAAAGTATAATATTAAGATAAATAATTCTAATAAAATAGTTTTTTAAAAATTGATGATACACTACACTTAAAATCCAATTTTTGTGTTGTTTTGCATATTTAGCTATTTAACAACAATAAATGCGTCTGGTAAATGTAATTATTATCCAAACTCTTCTATTAAATGTATAACAAATACAGAAAATGTCTAATGTAAATTACATTGAATTAAGTGATAGGTAAATATGACCTTCAATTAAGAAGGTGTTTAGATACTAAATAATAAAATTTAGGCTGCTCACCTTATTTAAATAAGGAAGCATGCATCAATTAAATGAGCAATTTTTAAGGAGAGAAAATATATTGTATAAATTATTTATCAAGAATTAGGTGTATTTTTCGAAAGATGTTAATACATTGAATATGCAGAAATCTAAAAATTAGGGTGTGATGATAGACTTAACAAATTAGCTTGTATGAATTTATCAACATAGAAATGTTTTTGGGAGAATAAATGTAAAATAATACAAGAAGATATCAAAAATAATAGCCATAATTATGAATAATTCAGCTTCTCTGTGACACCTTACACTTGTTAATTAATTGAATCTGGTTTATGTAAGCATAAATTTTTAAATAGTTATTAATGATGGATTTCAAGGAGATTTTAAATGTGTAGAAGTAAGATTAGATTAATTATCTAAATTAACATGTTAAGAGTCAGGTTTAAATCAAAATGGCTGTCTGGCTATAACAACTAAAGATTAATATTGTAATACTTTTTTTTATTCAAAATTAGGCATATTTTTAGATAATTAATGTAAATCAATATAACCTGACTAAATTACTTCATGCAATTTAAAATTGAATAAAAATGCTTGTCTTTCAACAATAACGCATAGTGAAACAAAATTATTATGTGAATGGGTGGAATCCTCTT